GAGAATCAGTATAACAACATAGATGGCCATTAAACAACCCATCACAGATGTCCAGCAACAGCTAAAACCAAACATCAAAACACTTTTACTAATTCATCTGAGGGATGTGGTAGGTTTCCAAGGTAAATGAGACACTAAATACTACATTTTAGTCTGCATAGGTTTTTGGGAAAATGATTACTCTTGAAGGAGAAAAAAACTTTCTAAGTCTATAATGGTAGATCCAGTGGGGGGCGGGTCACGGCCAAAATGTTGCGCGCTGACATGCTTGCAATACCACCCCGGGCCGATGCAGGTGGACCCGGAATAAGAATTAGACAATGCTAACAGATAGCATTGGCAGACCTCTGGAAAACACCTTTACAGGATGGTCCAAAAGTTGGCTCTTGGCCCAAGGCTCCGTTCCACATGTGTGTCAATGCTGAGGGGGGTGAATTTTTTTGGACCACTCTAGTCTCGCTGTGAATTTTTGAAGTCTCTCGTTCAAATAAATGGAGCTTGCGCCGGCTGACGCATGCGGCGATAGGCGTGACTACGTCCATTAATTTTTGCAGTCTATGGGTAGAGCTAAAAAACTTGAATATAGTGAAAATGGTTAGCCAAATGTCATAATACCCGAAAGTGAAAGCTATTCTATACAGATTCTGCTGTGTTTCTCTTCAAGAAATGTATTTTCAAAACTACAATTAAGGAAGGTATAGCTACAGTACAAAAGAAAAGTGTCTTCTGCACTGGTCGCCCAGACACATGTGTGCAATTGTACAAAAAATGTCTTTTTACTTTTGATGGTCACAGCTTGCAGATAATGAAAACCATAGATTCGTGTCTCATAAAATATCAGATACAATCTCTCAACACATCAATCAATCAATCAATCAATCAATTTATTTGAGCAGGTCATACAAAACAAAAAACAATCCAATAGGAAAACATTTCAAGAAAAAGTAGACACAGCTCAAAGGGAGTAAGCCGAAGTAAAATACTTGTGTGAGCTTACCCCAATTACATTTTCATATTTACATCGTTTTTCAATTAGGTGTGTGTTGTGTGTAGTGTGCGGTGTGTTGTGTGTGTGTGCGTGTAGTGTGTTGTGCGCGGTGTGTTGTGTGTGTGTGTTGAAGTGGGTACACATGCATGCGTGTATATGTTTGTTTCTGATAGTGCATGAGTGCTGTGTGTATTTGTATGTGTACTTGTGTTTATGCCTGGGTATAAGTGTATGTTTGTGTTTGTGTGGATGCACCCAGATTGAAATGTATTTGTGCATGTGTGCCTGAGTGGGTAAATGTATCCGTGTGTGTGTGTGTGCACATTTGTTAGCCATGAGCATATCCAGTAATGTATTTGCATGTATTACACATGTATGTGTCCCCGAGCTTGAGCTTCACACATGCACGCGTCCACACCCCTCAGTGTCTGAGCACATGCTTGTGTCATGAAGATCCAGCTGTAGGAAAACCGTAAGCCCGCACATGGAAATCCCCTGTATATTCTCACATTCGTAAACATGAGCATATACAGTGCTGTACATTGTGCCGATAAATAAGGTCATTATTCAGTAAACAGAAACTCCAAGCAGGCTACAGTAGGAAGTCTACTGTATACGCAGTACAAGTACAATATGTGAGTTAGCAGGTTTGGCTAGACTAGCGAGAAAGCAGAAATTTCATAACAGATTTACAGTCCTTCTTCAACTTCATATTTTTTTAATACGCTTACCTTATACAGTCTTTTGAAATTCACTAATGAGGTAGTACTTTTAAGACAATCCGTTAATTCATTCCATAAGTCCACTCCCCTTCGGGTAATGAACATGTTTTTTAAAGTAGTACGAACACGCTGTTTCTTAAAGTTCAGTTGGCCTCTTAGATTGTATTTTGAGTCCCTTTCAAGGAACAGGTTTTGTATATGGTTTGGAAGCAATTTGTTTCGAGCTTTGTACATGATCTGTAATGTTTTACATTCAACCAGATCTTCAAACTTCATTATCTTTGATTGCAGAAACAGCGGGTTTGTGTGCTCCCTATAACCAGTATTGTGTATGATTCTTAGAGCCTTTTTTTGCATGATGAAGATGTCTTTGAGATTATGTTTGTAAGTATTTCCCCATATTTCGGTACAGTAACTAATATAGGGCAGGACGAGTGTGCAGTAAACTGTGTGCGATGCTTTTGTATCCAGGAGATGTCTAGATTTCCTCATTATTGCAATAGATTTGGCTATCTTTTTTTTAACACTATTAATTTGTGGTTTCCAGCATAGCTTCTGGTCAATAATGACTCCAAGGAAATTATGTTCATAGACACGTTCTATGATTTCATCTTTAATCATTAGTTTGGGTTCTGTGGTAATTTTTTTATTTCCAATCACCATGAATTTGGTTTTCTTTAGATTAAGTGATAATTTATTGCTGTCGAACCAATCTTTAATTTTTGTCAGTTCCATGGAGACCTCGGTCAGTAGCTGTTGCAGGTTTGTTCCAGCGCATAAGATGGTGGTATCATCGGCAAAAAGTACTAATTTTAACTTTTTAGAAATTACAGCCAAATCATTGATATACAATAAAAACAAAATTGGCCCGAGCACAGAGCCCTGAGGCACTCCACACACATAATTGGCCTCAAAGTTGATTTGTACTCACCAATCTGTACAAACTGATGTCTGTCTGTCAGATAGGACTTAAGCCACTGTAGAGGGCAACCTCTTATTCCTTTTTTTTCCAATTTTTTAATCAAGATACTATGGTCTATCGTGTCAAATGCCTTTTTTAGGTCAATGAAAATAGCAAGAGAATATTTCTGTTTTTCTATATTGTCGCTGATCTCCTCAGCCAAGTCAATCATAGCCAAGGTAGTGGAGCGGTTCTCTCTAAAGCCGTATTGGCTGTCATGGAGTAAATTGTGTTTGTTGATATAGTTATTTAATCTGTCTTTAAACAATTTTTCAAGGATTTTTGAAATTTGCGGCAGCAATGAGATTGGCCTATGGTTGTGAAAAGAATGTTTGTCACCATTTTTGTATATTGGTAGCACCTTTGCAACTTTCATTTGTTTTGGGAATTTTGCAGTTTCAAAAGACAGATTGCAAATGTGTTTGATTGGTTCAGTTATGCTGTGAATAACTTTTTTAACCAAGCTCATACTCAGGCCGTCAAAATCCTGGGAGTTTTTACTCTTGAACTTTCCCACTACCTTAAGAATTTCATTTTCATCAACTGGGCTGAGGAGAAAGGAGCTATAACTTTGATTGTAACAGACGTCACTTTGCATAGAATTGATTGGTGAGTCAATTGTTTTAGCAAGTTCAGGCCCTATTTCAACAAAGTACTTGTTAAAGCCTTCCGCTACTTCTTGTGGATTAACCAGGGTCTCATTATTATGTGTGTAATATTCTGCTATTGCATTTAATTTGGGTTTGGTTCCGATGATTTCATTTAGCACTCTCCAGAAGCCCTTAATATTATTTTTATTATGTTCAAGCAAAGTCTTATAATAGTCTGTTCTGGTTTTCCTTAAAATTTCCGTTAAATTGTTTTTATACTTTTTGTACCGGTTTTCAGAGTCTGTAGTTCTTGTTTTGATAAAAATTTTATACAGTGTGTTTTTCTTTTTACAAGCATTTACCAAACCCTTTGTCATCCAAGGTTTTAGATTTTTACATTTAGTATTTAATTTAAACAAAGGACAATGTGAATCGAGGTATGATAACACATGTTTTAGGATGTTTTAAACGCAAATGTAAATTTCTTGGTCAGGTTCTTTGTTGAACCTCCTTGTGCCGTAGTATTCTTGCAATACTTGTTTGAGACATTTCAGTCTTTTGTTTCTACAGAACTCTCATTTCATTCTTATGCAAACGTTAGCACACCAAAGTCAGGATCAGGCTCTCAAGGCCAAAATGGAGGTGAGATGTGAAGCGCACCTACCCAACCTGGCTAAGTATAGGAGGATAGTATATGAGCAAAGTATATGGGGCTGCTACAGCCACAGACAGACAAGGTTGTGTTTGGAGGCATGTCCCGGACCCAGACACAACAAGTCTTTATTTAGTGAGCCACACCCGACCAACTGACACTGCGCTCCAGTCTGGTTACCAAGGCCCAGGGCAGAATACAAGGCTCGATGATGCAACAGGGGAAACATCTGCATGACAGACAGTGATAAGGGAGACTAGAGTGATGGGTTTAATACAATTTTATCTGTGCATTTTGATTAGAACAGAAAAAGACAAATATAATTTTTGGCACTAGTTTTTAGGTTGTAGATTAAGGGAACAGCTAAAGAGAAGTCTTGATGTGACTGATCATGAATGACAACGCTTATCCAAAAAAGGTAACTGTATCAAGAAGTACCAAACCACCTGCCTGTAAACTGAGAGGATCCATATGTAAACTAAATCTGTTTACTATAATTCATTACATACTATTATATGTGGGAACTTAGCATTCTTTTTCAGCAGTTTTATTTCTAAGACATCTTTAAACATCTGTGTACAAAGGGAGTTTGGAGGCTATCTCTGAGGTGGACTAAGCAAAGTCCAACCTAATGTAAAAATAATTATGTTACTTTAATGTGGACTAGGGATGCAACAACTAATCGATTAATCGACGACTAATCGATTATTGAAATAGTCGACAACTATTTTAGTAATCGATTAATCGTTTTCTGGTTCACACGGACTCAAACAGAGCAAAAATGACATGAAAATGTAGTATTTTTGATTAAAACCGACTTTGTTTTTATAATTTCATGAATATCTGTCTGTCTCATCCAATCAGATAGCAGAATTAGCACAAAGAGCCTGTTACAAACATTTACTTTAAGTTTACGCTATCAATACGTCCTCGAGTGTTGCCACTTTAGCTTTTTGTGATGAAAAAATATTTTTTTTCTACAAAATTCACAGCCAAGCGATTACTCGATTAATCGTAAAAATAATCGATAGATTAATCGATTACAAAATAATCGTTAGTTGCAGCTCTAATGTGGACCATGACTGACCATGTAGTTCTGATCCGCATGATGGTGCAGCATCTTCCTCTGTTCATCCCATCGAGCGTGGGCCTCCTCCAGCTGCCTCTCCATGGCCTTCTGAAGCCGGACCGCCTCCTCCTTTGAGTCACACGCATTGGTCTGGAGCTCTGCTATTAACTGCGGATGAGAGAGGAGCATTTGATGTCAGCGTGATTGATCAAGGAATAAATGGAGAAAAATTAGAAGCTAAAATAAATACGTCAACAATATGGTAGTAGCAGCAGAAGGGGCTGAAGAGGTATCCAATGGGGCGACAGTAGCTCAGTTGGTAGAGCATTGGCCTTAAGCCCAGAAGGTCGTGGGTTCAATTCCCACCTCTGCACCTTCTCCACCGACTCCCACTGATGACTGCTGTCGTTGTGTCCTTGGGCAAGACACTTAACCCCACTTTGCCCAAAGCCCCCACTGAAAGATCAAGGCTATGCTCACGCTCAGAGAGCAGCCTTCCTCCTGTGGACTCACCACCTGCAGAGGGTCAGTGAGGGGCTGGTGCTATGAGACTTGGGTGGCATCTCTGACTGCCACCCCCCTGACCCAGAAATGGATTAAAAAAGGGTAGAAAATGGATGGATGTTTAGGCCAATATGGGGGAAACGTTTTTTGTCTGAGATCCCCCAGCCCTAAACTTAAATAGTAATTTTTAGCCACATAGCCCTTCTTAAAGCAAGTTATTTTGAATATATTTGCAGGTAATTGAGATGAAAAAAATAAAATCCAACCACTCAAAGGACTATGAATAATTATCAAGGGCCTTTTTAGAATAACTACTGTATTATTCAAAAGCAGTGGTCAACCAACTAATGCATAGATAGATACAAATACTGTAATTCCAATGCAATTTTAAAGCTACCTATGAGTATTACCTTCAGATAAACAAAATTAAGCAATAATCACAAATTACCCCTGTATTTCAGGTCCTGTGCAAAAAAATACAATAGTTTAAACCATGCATAGTCAAATCCATTCCCTCCGCAAGTACAGTCTTATAAAGTGAAAGGCAAGAGAGCAGGAAAAAAGAGACACAGAAGAAAGAACGAAGCAAAAAAAATGTGCTTCCTTGCTGCATGACTTTGTGTTGGTGAACTTTGCGGTGCAGAGTAAGATGAAAAGCGACTGCCTGGGCTTTGAAATCCTGCAGTCAAAATTAACATTCTATTTAAGCCACCGTCAGAGAACGGCGAAGGCAAAGATGAGAGCGTGAGCGGACTGAGACAGTGGTGGTGGTGTGGTGGGCTGCTTGTAGCTTTGGGCCAGACAGATAATTGTTTACCGTGTGCAAACTCCGGAGCACTGTGTGGGAGTGGGAGAGGTGGAGCAGGTCCGACCACAGGGACAGCGCAGGGGAGAGACGAGGCAGACATTAGGCTTATTTTGTCACCACATGAAAGCAGCAAATAGCGCATTATTACGGGAACATCATTTCACGGCAGAATAATTATATTGCTGTATATGGGATCCCTGAATCTGCAAGTGGAGGGCCCTGTGGTGGTGGCGTAGTTCTCAAACAGCAAAGTCAGCTGTCTGTCCTGTTATTCTAGTATGTACAGTATACTACAGCAGCCGTCTCTCTATCTAATAGCCAGGCCTTTTAAACTATAATTGGTCTGGTGAGACTCGACTATTTACCCAGCTTGCTGCTATCTTTGTCTGAGGTTAAAGCCAGGTTTATGTTATCTGCCACCAACATGGGATGAAAAGACAGATGAACACGGGTAAATCTGTTTGTGGATACAGACGTGCACAACTGGCAGCTGACAAAGAGAGGCTAGGTCAGCATGGTGCCTTTGATTTAAAGATGCATCAAAACATCAGATTTATGCCAACAATTCGAGCAGTTTAAAACCAACTAATCACAACAGATGTTTGTCTCATTCTCAGTATATGGGAAAGCACCTCCAGAATTCACTCAACTAAGTGTTGTCACAACAATACATTTAAAACTCTATTTCAATACGAGGAAAAACACATGATACTCTATACCCAGGTTATTTAAAATGCTCTTTTTGGACAAAACACTGTCTATAACTCAAAATAATACTTTGCATGGGACCCACAAGGTACAATTCTTCTGACAGTTTAAAATGTATTAAACATTTTACCTCGTGTTTGTACCTCTTGTTTTACTAATATCTGATATTCACTACTTTCGACAACCCTAAATGAGATGGTTTAGATAGTGACCATATCTTTTCATGCAATTCAATGTGGGTGAAGTGTCTTGCCAAAGGACACAACCTCAGTTTACACTTTGAGTCACAGCAGCCCCACTGTGGATACTGCTATTCCCAACAGTTTTCCAACCAAGTACTATTCAGGACTCGTACCTGGTGGTGATAAACTCCTACTGTAGCCATAGCTGCCCTGGGTCACACTGACAGAAGCGAGGCAACCAGTATGTGCCATCGGCCCCTCTGACCACCACCAGCCATACACACACACACACACACACACACACACACCAGACTCATTCCAACAAGGACATGTCAGTGGAGGCATATACAGTATGTCTACATATATGTGTGTATCTATATGTACGCATATATGTAGACACATATGTACATCTGATGTGGGGTGAATTTAGTGCCTCAACAATCACCAACCTCACTGCATGTCGCTGCATTCTAGGCAAAGTGGGTGAAGTGTCTTGCCTAAGAACACAACAACAATTTGGCACTTTGCAGCCGCCCCACTGTGGCACCTGGTGTTCCCACAGCAAACTGCTAGAAATTCCAATGTTTAATTCTGATTAGAGGTCCACTGGGTTTTCTGTGGCTGATGCTGCAGTTGTCAAAGGTTTTCACATAATAATGTATTGATGAATTTTGATAGGAATAGTCTCATTTTGAAAAAGAGATGAAAACACGGATACTAAAAAATGCAATGTTTGATTATAACTCATCTTTTGCATCCATGGTAATTTTTATGCATTTTCATCTACTTTATGGGAGGAACATCTGTAACAATTCTTACTTTTATTGAATATGGGTTTGGATATTATTTTTTGCGAAACAAATAATTATGCTTGGTTTGAAAAGTGGACCAAAGAGGGCTGCGTTTTGGGAATTTTATTTACAGATAAATCTATATATAAATATTTCAGTTGATCTCTAATTCAAATCATAGTGAACCATTCCTTGTCATACTCACAAACAATGAACCTACACCAACTCCCTCAAATACATCCAGTGTTTCCAGTTTTTGAATAACAAAAGCCTACATTATCAAAAAAACTGGTGACCGAAGAGCTTGTTGTGTTTATTACATGGTAGGAGGTCATAAGTGGACACTAGTTGTTCAACCTAACTACTAGCAATGTGCAGCACTAATTGAGACTTATTTGCATGTGGGTTGAACTTTAGCCCTTCTCCTCGCTCTTTTGATGCGCTGGTTCTTCCCATGGCGGCTAACATCTCCCACTGTGACCGGAGTATTTACAGTAATAACGATCTCCTCCCACCATAGCCGGATCATTAGAGCTCGACCTGCAAAATTCATAGGTCACCCTCGAGAACTACTTCCAGCTTCATTGAAATCGGGGTCAACTAATTAGTAGTGTGTGTATGAGAGAATCTAGAAACACAAAAGCAATGTTTAGGGAAGTACATAAGTCTATCTTCTGGTCCCCTCAGGGCAGTGTATGGTGTGGAGTGTTTTTTTAATTGGACTATCAGGCGTGCAAGCCGGTCGATGAAGGGTTAACAACTGGTGTTAGCCAATGAGATTCAGAAGACTTGTGTTTACATACTGTATGGTTAACTTACCCTGAGGGCTCAGCAGCAAGGGCCAAACCGAAGACTTGTAAAACAATGCAAGCTATGACAAATCGAAGCCGACATTTCATATGAGGCGGGGGTCATGAATCAAAATAGGAAAATAATAAAAAATATTCATTTATATAGCGTTTATCACAGGCCAAGGTCATCGAAGTGCTTTACAATTCTGTTGTACCAATAATTACCATTCACTCCACACATGGAGACGACAGAAGCAAGACCCCAAACACACAGGTGCATAAAAGCCGCTGACCATTACCTTATTCCTTCACTATGTCCTTACATTCAGACCTATTGTACATGTTTTTAGTGGTAGTGGAAACCACAGCACCTGAAGGAAACCTATGAAGCCAGGGGGAGAACATGCAAACTCCACAAAAAAGGCCTGTCTGTAGATGGAATCAAACCCAGGATCTTCTCGCTAAGAAGTCCAAGTGCTAACCACTGCACCACCAAAGATGACATACCTAACATCCATGCTTTTAAATTCTCCTATGATTGTCAAGAAATCTCTCGTATCGCCAGAAGTTTGATCTGACTTTTTAAAATATATTATCTTAAATAAACAAATAACAATGAAAAAACACCAGCATTTCAGTTGAATATTACAATATTACATTTCTTTTGGTTTAGAAATGACCTGCAAGACCACATCATTTTGTTAAAGAGTATGATGTAATATTATTATTATTCATACAAATGCATTAAAAGTGCATCTGAAAAAAAAAAGAAACTTAAAAGAAACTTAACTGATTGTTAATGTAACTTCAGAATTATACTGAAACAGGCAGTGTAGTGGCCGTACAGCAGAGAAAGGGTCGATTTATCAGGTCCTCATCTGCAGAAGTGAGACTCACAGAAGTGAGTTTTTTTTTGTCAGCTCTGTGTCCCCAAAACACAGGATTAATCTCTTGTTACTGCTTGGGTTTGAGAGAAGACAAACATGGTTGAACTTTAGCACAGTGCCGCGCTCCTTTGATGTGGAGAATTGTGTAACCTAATAAGCTACTGTTTTCTCACGTCTGCTCGTAAACCCTGCTCTCAGCTGCGTGCTTTTGCCAGTTATCCTCAAAAATGGTGATATGACAAAAAGTTCAAGTACCGAAAACTGTCATAAGTCATATCTTTTCAGATTTGAATTAAATGTACGTCACAATTCACATCATAAATTATAAAGAAGATGTCTTCAGTAGAAGATCTTTATTCACCCGTCCAAGGCCTTTTACAGAAGAATAATCAAAGCAATGCAAAAGCTACAAAGACAAGTAATCAATATGTCATCTTAGAAGTGGGAGATTAAAATTGTATGATATTCCCATTTTGTTCTTTTTTGAGATTTGTACTGAAAAATAAATGAAAATAAAAAACCTCAGCTGTTACTGGTGCTTTTAAAAACAAAATCAGAAATACATGATTGTGCAATTTAGGCAGAATATTACAAAAACGTAACTTTTAGTTTAGTTTCATAACAAAAAATGCTTAAATAAAGTTGTTCTACTCAATTTTACGAAATTATATTATGTTAATTAAAGTAATAGTGGTATTCAGAATACAATACCATCATGCTGTAGGCTGGGAGTGTTTCTGTTTTGATAATGACCCGTAACATCTGACCAATGGGTCTTCTATCTCAGAATTCAGTTGGTTAGAGAGAAACGTGAGCGGGTAAAAATCAGAAAAAGCCAAAGGCAATGAATGATGTTCCTTGTGACTGGTGCAATAATCATGCTAAAAATCTGCATAATGATGTGCCAAACCTCACTACCACAGATTTAAACAGATTTGTGAACAATATTTGAGATAAACGGTTCTTTGCGTATATACATTTCCAGTTCAGTTCATGAAAAAAAGGGATCAAAATCAAAAGAGCTGTGTTTGTATTTTTGTGTAGATTTAGACTTTGTATGCCTGCTGTCCATTAGGGGCAGTATGCTCCCCTACCACCAGCATCATGCATTTTACAGCTCAGTAGAAAAAAAAAAACTAGGATGAAAGAGGGATGAAGGGGATAGAGAGAGAAAGTCCAGGATGAAAAACATGATTACCTGGGCAGATTTGGTGAGCCTCTGACTGTAGTCCTTCTCAATCTGCTTCAGCCTGCTGTTGGCCTGTAAACAAGAACCAGACTGTGAGATAAAGATATGTCTACAAACACACAACATTGCACAAAGTTATGAAATTGAATCTGCTCTTAAAAAAAAAAAAAAAAAAAAGTCAAGTCGCACATCAAAAAACAACCCCAAAAGCTCACACGCGCATGCTGATACCGACCCGTGGGTTTGGGAGCTCTGGGCGTCGGCTGGACCAGCGCCAGTCCCGTGCGGAGCAGTGACCGGTGACGACTTTGATTCAGTGCCAGAGCATCGTTCAACAAGAAGGACACAAGAGCGAATTAGCATGTAACTGCCAATTAGCTATTAATAAAGAGAGATGTAAATTGTAAATGAAGAATTACACAAGAAGAATGAAGAAAGACTAAAGGTATTTATAGAGCAGGCAATGCCCTTTTGTTTGGAGACGGGAAGCATGCCAGCCGGACACTCAAAGTGCCAAACAAAAAGGTACAACATTGATTGTCTATGTCAGTGTCTCCCAAAGTGGGGTCCGCGGCCCCCTGGTGGGTCGCGATGGTACTGCAGGGGGGCCGCGGGAGGTCATAAAAAAAATAAAAAAATAATATAATTATTGAATGTTAAATTTATAATGTTTTGTTTGTAATATTAAAATATTTGTGTTCATTATTTGACTTGAATAATCCACTGTAATCATTTTTGTATTACAATGTTTGTAGCAGAGGCTATTTCCCCAAAATAAAATAACCAGAAGAGCCTATTCTTAATGTTGTCTTCTTGGTTATTATTTTGGGGGGCCACGCAGACCCGTCAGATTTTTAAGGGGGCCTCGGTGTTACTGAGTTTGGGAATGGCTGGTCTATGTAAAGGAAGAAGAAAGTGGCAGTGTCGATGTGACGTAATAACAGTATTCTCTGCTTTGAGTAATAACATAATATAAGAGATCCTTTATTCATTCCACGGTGGGGAAATTTCATTGTTGCAGCGCAGATACAGGACAGTAGTAAGAGCACACAGGGAGCACACAAATTATACAATATTAGTAGCTGCTATGTTTCTTAGCTAACTGTAAATCCTTCAATATCAATATATCTCTATCTACATTCAGTGGACCTTCTGAAATCGTAGTATTGCACATTGCATATGATTACAGTATTTAATATTTACAGATGAATGACATGTACAGGCTCAGCAGTTCTCATTGTACAGTATTAGTAGTAAGTACAGAAGGTATTAGTATTGCAGTGAACCTTAAAGAACAGGTACATTTATCAATGTTAATGTGAAAGAACCCATATGGTCTCTAGTTAGTAAGCTGCAGAATACACAATACACATGTTGATTTCTGTTGTTAAAGGTGAACTGAACCAGCTTTTGATGCTTGTGTGTTTAGCAGATGGGACCACGTGAAAACACACACTCTTGACATTCTGATATTGACAGACACTGACAGACAACTCTCCTTTAAACACAGTGCCATTGAACGCATCGTGTGCAGCCATCAACACCTGCGCTTTGGAGTTTAACCAAACACTTCCTGACAAACTCCCATGTCCAATGTGAGCAGACACCTGTCACCACAGCAACACCAACCCCTCACCACGGATACGAGCGGATGCTGTGTTGGTGCAGGACGGGCGGGAGGATGGTCCCCAGAGCCCAGAGCGGGACAGCAGCGGGAAACAAAAGAGTCCATTGTGTTGAATGACATGTGCGCACAGATTGCTGCAGCACAAAGAACATAGCAACATTCACTGAGCAAAAGTAAGTTTGCAGTTGTTGAGTCATGACATTTCTGTTAAGGTGCAGGTATACTTTGATGCACTGGCTCATGGATTCAATATTGTTGAACAATATAAACTTATACAGTGCCTTGCGAAAGTATTCGCCACCTTTTGCTGCAAATACAGCTGCAAGTCGCTTGGGGTATGTCTCTATCAGTTTTGCACATCGAGAGACTGGAATTCTTGCCCATTCTTCCTTGCAAAACAGCTCGAACTCAGTGAGGTTGGATGGAGAGTGTTTGTGAACAGCAGTCTTCAGCTTTTTCCACAGATTCTCGATTGGATTCAGGTCTGGACTTTGACTTGGCCATTCCAACACCTGGATACGTCTATTTGTGAACCATTCCATTGTAGATTTGGCTTTATGTTTTGGATCATTGTCCTATTGGAAGATAAATCTCCGTCCCAGTCTCAAGTCTTTTGCAGACTCCAACAGGTTTTCTTCCAGAATGGTCCTGTATTTGGCTTCATCCATCTTCCCATCAATTTTAGCCATCTTCCCTGTCCCTGCTGAAGAAAAGCAGGCCCAAACCATGAGGCTGCCACCACCATGTTTGACAGTGGGGATGGTGTGTTCAGGGTGATGAGCTGTGTTGCTTTTACGCCAAACATATCGTTTTGCATTGTGACCAAAAAGTTCGATTTTGGTTTCATCTGACCAGAGCACCTTCTTCCACATGTTTGGTGTGTCTCCCAGGTGGCTTGTGGCAAACTTGAAACAAGACTTTTTATGGATATCTTTGAGAAATGGCTTTCTTCTTGCCACTCTTCCATAAAGGCCAGATTTGTGCAGTGCACGACTGATTGTTGTCCTATGGACAGACTCTCCCACCTCAGCTGTATTTATCTGCAGTTCATCCAGAGTGATCATGGGCCTCTTGGCTGCATCCCTGATCAGTCTTCTCCTTGTTTGAGATGAAAGTTTGGAGGGACGGCCGGGTCTTGGTAGATTTGCAGTGGTCTGATACTCATTCCATTTCAATATAATTGCTTGCACAGTGATCCTTGAGATGTTTAAAGCTTGGTAAATCTTTATGTATCCAAATCCGGCTTTAAACTTCTCCACAACAGTATCTCGGACCTGCCTGGTGTGTTCCTTGGTCTTCAAGGTTATCTCTGCGCTTTAAACAGAACCCTGAGACTATCAAAGAGCAGGTGCATTTATACGGAGACTTGATTACACACAGGTGCATTCTATTTATCATCATCAGTCATTTAGGACAACATTGGATCATTCAAAGATCCTCACTGAACTTCTGGAGTGAGTTTGCTGCACTGAAAGTAAAGGGGCCGAATAATATTGCACGCCCCACTTTTCAGTTTTTTATTTGTTAAAAAAGTTTAAATTATCCAATAAATTTCGTTCCACTTCACGATTGTGTCCCACTTGTTGTTGATTCATGACAAAAAATTAAAATTTTATATCTTTATGTTTGAAGCCTGAAATGTGGCGAAATGTTGAAAGGTTCAAGGGGGCCGAATACTTTCGCAAAGCACTGTACAATCTGAGATATGAGTATGGCGGCCATAAAGCATATTTTTTTACATTTTGTGAAGTATACAATATATAATGAATAGGGGTGGGAACCTAAGGGTACCTCACGATACGATACACGATACAAAGCTCACGATAACGATATTATCACGATAACGATATTATCACGATAACAATATCACGATAACGATTTTATCACGATGACAATTTTATCACGATAACGATTTTATCACGATATGACGATTATCGATATATTGGTCAGAAATATACAATATGCAAATTTATGGCATAAATAAAAGAAAAAATACACTTTGTTTCATGATAAATGGAATGGAGATGCGTAATGTAGCCATATATTAAGTATTGATACCAATTTTTTTTTTTTTTTTTTTTAAATTGATACTTGGCAAATGCATATCGATAATCGAATCGCGGGAGAAAGCGACCCCTAATAATGAATGATTATTATATCTCATAATTACGTTTCTCTTGTAAGGTATAGCGTTATTATATAAATATTCAATCCATGTTGTTTCTAAGACTACAGCAGTGGTTGTCATGATGCGAGGGATGATTTGAAGACGACATTCAATGCTTTTCATAATATGTTACACAATATTTTACACAAAACACAATCATCCATCCATCCATCTTCTTCCCTGTAATCCATTACTGGGTCAGGGGGGTGGGAGTCTTTATGTCCAATAACACAATGAACGACTCATATTAAAGAAGCTATACCTGTTTTTTTTTTTCAATGAGTTCATAAAAATGCTTATTACTACATACAAGTTGTATTATAATCCGTAATTTAATTGAAAACTTGAGCTCATTGATTCCGCTTGTGTATGAATTCAGGCCGTAAAAAATGCTGAGTAGAGCGTGACGCCCGCTCTCCTCCAATCACAGAACAAGGCTGAGTCCTCTAGCCTCTGTGCTGGTAAACACAGTAGTATGTTAGCAGAATTGGCTATAACTCCTCTTGCTGTAACTGCATACACATAGATCGCAAATAAAACTAGATGGCTCCGTGGGATGAGAGAGTAGGGGAAATGAGAAGCCTGTGAGCGAGTTGGGGGGGCGGTGCTAAACATTAAAACCTTGCAGGAACGGATATAGCTCCTTTAAAGCCTGGTTCACACGGCAGGATAATTAGGCCGATTTTGGACCAGATTTACCCCTACGACAATCATAAGAACGCTCCGAATATCGTAATAAAAAATCTGATGGATTTTCCTGCCGTGTGTGGTGTGTTAAGACTGTGCTCGTCGCTCGGAAGGACTTCGGGACTGCTCCGATCTCAATATCGGGGATATCCAACATGTTGGATTGTTTTGGCCCGATTTCTCTTCGTGTGTGGTGTCCCCAGGGGACAGACGTGCGCGTTCCCATGACTGCGGCGTGTAGCCAATCAGAAGACGAGACGAGGCGGCGAGGAAACATTGTAAAAAAACCAAAACAGTCAGCGGCATGGCGCACCAGAAAGTTCGGTGGACATCAGAGATGGAGGAAAAACTAGTTGACCTCTGGCAACACTGTGAATGTATGTATGACGTGTCGTGTAAAGAATCCTCACTGAAATGACAAGGAGAGGAATTGGGCAGAAATAGCTGCTGCACAGGTAGTGTTGGCATAAGCCCTATTCGGACGGGATTAGTACACTAAATGATCAGACTGATGGGTTGTGTTTGTACGTTTACTTTGCACTCTGTCCTAATACAGTACAGACGTGTTGATGCAGCCGTTACTGCAGCCGT